ACCCCATGAAAATTCACCAGCCAGTTGGCCCAGTGACTGTGGAGATTTACTAGCACGACCGGATTTTTACTAGCCACGGGCTAGCGGACCAGTAGCTATATCGCACACTGTATGGAAGGGTTTTGTTGTTTTTAATCAAATAGGGTACGATAAGGCACCATTTGCCCAAAGCCAGGCTCTTAGCAAGCCATATTTTTTCGTGTAAGCCCAATAGCTGGCAAAGCTTTATATTTAGATAGTATTAGCAAAAACCCTGTGTTTTTCTTCATAATGGTAGCTACGCCCCTGAAAGCCATCTTATTGCTTAACGTTGTGACTCCATACATTTACACACACATGCAACTAACTTTGTACATCACGCCGTACATGTTGGTCCTCATTCTGGGTATCATAACCTCTCTAGCACATTACCAATATCACTTCAGGATGAGAATCTACCAATTAGAAACTTTCAGGATGTAACTCACTCATAGCCTTTAAGATTCCTCTTATAACTAGTCATGTGTCATCTTGCTAACCCCTCCATGTATCCACAGGGATGTACATAATGTGAAGATATGCATAGCCACAGGGCGTGAGAGTCTTGTCCTGAGTCACTGTTGTGTATATAGTGTGTACAGCGTTGTAGTTACATGCATGTTGCCTACAGGTCACAGGTAGCAGGCTTTATCCAGTTGATCACTGTCAACCCAGACCTCCTACAGTGTATGAGACTATCGGCACAGTCATCTCTCATGTTGGAAATGTACTGTTTGAAAGGACCAGTGTCATTTAGCTGAATATTAAGAAACATGTAAAACTGATACATGTATACAGAACTGTATACGTAATACAGAACATTGGGTGCAATATTCATCACAATTATATCTGTTTCTGGAAATACCTTTAATTACACTTGTTGCAAGTGATTACACAAGGCCAATTAGAAAGTGGTCAAATGTAACACATGTAATATTTGGGATTACACTTTGTCATAAAGTACAGATTCTAGTGATGTTGTTAGATTGAATGGTGCTTGACTCCATTAACAATGGTGCACCACTAGTGAATGTGTAAAAACGTGTAAATGTGACACCCACTTTCATTCAACCAGACAGCCTGATACCATTCCCTGCTGCAGGCTTGCTTCTGTTTATGAATATGTATACAAATATGATAATGATACACTATATATACATAAGCTGCCACACATATGGGACACCTTTCTATTTTACAGGATACTGATAGGACAACTTGAGGCCAAAAGCATCAATCCAAAAATAATATGAAAATACTGAATATATTCTTATTTGCTCGACTGCTCCATCTTTGTTGGATAAGAGAACGTATGGTGAGAGGTTGTTGCTGACGTAAGTAAGTATGAACCGTTTGAGTCGTTTGTTGATCAGTGAATGCTTGGGCCATGCAGTTCTGTTTAAAGCACAACACTTTCTCTGACATAAATACACATACCAGTATATACCCCTGTAAAATATTCAACATCCTCCACTTCAAACAGAATACCCATTTGATTTTTCCCACTAATCCTACTGACCCAAACCACTTTAGTGAAATATAATAACAAGGTTTTTTACCTACACAGCTATTCTTGTTATTCTGGTAAAGATAAGAAACGGAAAAAATGTCTCAATTATCAGATAATGTATTTTAATCATAAGGATTTCAATTTGAAAAGGACAAGCCCAGCAACCCAACGTGAAACTTTAATGACTAGATATTTTCCATAAGAACCTCATTTTACCTTATTCATTGGTTTGTGCCACAACTACCGTTTACTATCAAACAAAGATTATTTAAGGAATTCCGGCAGACGTAAATATATAGGATTATATCACCTCAGTCAAGACTCCAGAGAGGGCAGAGTACTGTAATATTATAGATGCACACATAGACAAAAGAGGCATACATTTACCGACAGCCCTCTTTGTTGACGTACCCTATCTCTGTTTCACAAAGTTTTGAAAATATTTTCCTTCTGAGCTATCTAGCAGGGCCCGAGTTTCATCAGTACTCCACATTCCTATACAGTTCTGTCCATTAATCCTCATCCTTTAGAGATGTTTTCTAGAAAAATAACTGCAAGTAAACAGTTTTCCTTGAACTTTAAAAGAGAAAACAACTGCCTGAAGCCAACACCAGCCGTATGGTGTGCCAACCTGGTCTCACTAGGCGCAGGATCACACAGACTGGGCTCTGTAATGTCAACCTGCAGCTTGGGATATAGTCAATACCTATAATCACATTCTTCTCATTTCTTCTGATATACAGTTCCATAATGTCTCATGATATTGCATGGCTGAAATATTTCTAAAATGTGTAACTCACACAATCACTATTATGTTGACTGTGATCTTATTTGCCAGTGGTTTAACATGTATACTGTGATATAGGACAATGGTTTAACATGGTATACTGTGATATAGGCCAGTGGTTTAACATGATATACTGTGATATAGGACAATGGTTTAACATGGTATACTGTGATATAGGCCAGTGGTTTAACATGGTATACTGTGATATACATGGTATGTGATATACTGTGATATAGGACAATGGTTTAACATGGTATATATAGGCCAGTGGTGATATAGGCCAGTGGTTTAACATGGTATACTGTGATATAGGCCAGTGGTTTAACATGGTATACTGTGATATAGGCCAGTGGTTTAACATGGTATACTGTGATATAGGCCAGTGGTTTAACATGGTATACTGTGATATAGGACAATGGTTTAACATGGTATACTGTGATATAGGCCAGTGGTTTAACATGGTATACTGTGATATTGGCCAGTGGTTTAACATGGTATACTGTGATATTGGCCAGTGGTTTAACATGGTATACTGTGATATAGGCCAGTGGTTTAACATGGTATACTGTGATATAGGCCAGTGGTTTAACATGGTATACTGTGATATAGGACAATGTTTTATCATGGTATACTGTGATATTGGCCAGTAGTTTAACATGGTATACTGTGATATAGGCCAGTGGTTTAACATGGTATACTGTGATATAGGCCAGTGGTTTAACATGGTATACTGTGATATAGGACAATGGTTTAACATGGTATACTGTGATATAGGCCAGTGGTTTAACATGGTATACTGTGATATAGGACAATGGTTTATCATGGTATACTGTGATATTGGCCAGTGGTTTTACATGGTATACCATGATATAGGCCAGTAGTTTAACATGGTATACTGTGATATAGGCCAGTGGTTTAACATGGTATACTGTGATTTAGGCCAGTGGTTTAACATGGTATACTGTGATATAGGCCAGTGGTTTATCATGGTATACTGTGATATAGGCCAGTGGTTTAACATGGTATACTGTGATATAGGCCAGTGGTTTAACATGGTATACTGTGATATAGGCCAGTGGTTTAACATGGTATACTGTGATATAGGACAATGGTTTAACATAGTATACTGTGATATAGGCCAGTGTTTTATCATGGTATACTGTGATATAGGCCAGTAGTTTAACATGGTATACTGTGATATAGGCCAGTGGTTTAACATGGTATACTGTGATATAGGCCAGTGGTTTAACATGGTATACTGTGATATAGGCCAGTGGTTTAACATGGTATACTGTGATATAGGCCAGTGGTTTAACATGGTATACTGTGATATTGGCCAGTGGTTTAACATGGTATACTGTGATATAGGCCAATGGTTTAATGGTATACTGTGATATAGGACAATGGTTTAACATGGTATATATATAGGCCAGTGGTTTATCATGGTATACTGTGATATAGGCCAGTGGTTTAACATGGTATACTGTGATATAGGCCAGTGGTTTAACATGGTATACTGTGATATAGGCCAGTGGTTTAACATGGTATACTGTGATATAGGCCAGTGGTTTAACATGGTATACTGTGATATAGGACAATGGTTTAACATGGTATACTGTGATATTGGCCAGTGGTTTAACATGGTATACTGTGATATTGGCCAGTGGTTTAACATGGTATACTGTGATATTGGCTGTGGAACACAGCTGAGAACTAAACGTTTATGATTGATATCACAAGTTAGAAGTGTCACTGTTTTGTACAAACAGCTCCCACTATTCACAACAAAGCTAGGTCATCGTTCTATAACATTTGGAATTACATATGACTTTGAACCCTGTTACAAATACCACCTATGTCAATCTACGTGGATTAAAAAAAACTATAGCATAATAAAAATGTAAATTGATTCTAACATTATTATTAACATTTCAAAGATGCAAGTGCACAGTAAATCCCCCTATGTTGTGAGATGCGGTTCCTGCTGCAAGATGCTTTGTTCTTGGTGAGGTGTTCATCACATAACCCAGCTGGCCTGCACAGGACGGGGACACAGGGTGCCATGATCACATGACACTTTATATGGAAATGAGACTTATATATAAAGTCCTATCTCTACAAACACAATGTTATTTCTCACCATCTTCAGGATAATTACAGATGAGCCATAAATAATATTGCTGTTTCATACTTTATAGCCACAGTTGTGCTCAGACAACTGTTTATAGGTTTGTTATATCCACTGCCCTGTATTGTCATGCAGGTCGGTCATAAAACACCATTAGTATAATCTTTGGAAACAGTTTCTCAAACAACCAGACAAGCATGACTGGCATTCAATGCTGGAAGATTATCATGTTTTGAATTTTGAATATCATCTTTGCATTTTGTCAACTCATCCTGATACACACACTGAAATATCATCACAATTTCAATTAATTTAGGAAAACCTTATCTAAATAATTTAATTCATCAAAAACATTTACTTATTACTGTTATATAAATGAAATTGTATTACAGAAATTTTAAAATGTAATGAATTATAAAAATTAAAAGTTTTGTATTCATGTGAAATAGTTTTATTGGTAAATATCTGTTAAAACAAGAGCTTATATGTTAACTAATATCTCAGCATATAAATTAGGTGTTTATTTAAAATTCATATTGATTCCAGGAGCGTGTAATCACCTTTGAAGCTTTTTCTTCAATTTCTCGATGATTTCTCTTCTGTCGGGACTTGGCATGGCGTCGTCTTCTCTCAATTGTTGGCAGGATTTTTTCTTCAGTCAGGTTAGCTCTAAATTCGCAGAAGTCGTTCCACTGACTGAAGAGAATTCTGAACACGGTCAGCTGAAATTGACATGAGAGTGTTGACAGATGAAGCAGGCATAGGAGCTGTACATTTCACCATCACATACTGTAGAAACATCATAGGCTTTAGTAGCCAGTTTCTTCACTGTTTCCTGCATTCATGAAGAGATGGAGGCTCAGTTTTACAGTTTTGTGGCCCTATATGGACCCTAAATGGACCCTAAATGGACCCTATATGGACCCTAAATGGACCCTAAACGGGTCCCCTCTTCTCACCATCACTGCTGATTGCAATGTAGTGGGCACTGAATAAAAATATTCAGAACATACAATCTGCAGTACACACAAAGTTGCACCATTAAGTTAAAAACAAGCATTTCTTTAATGAATGCAGTTTAAATCTTAAAACATATCCAAACTTTACTTTTTACATCAAGTCAGCTAACAGTCAAGGTCATGTTGAAATTCAGCACTTTGTTATTTCATTTTAGTTACTCTATATTTCTATCAGAAAATCTCAAATATCTCAACACAAACTAGATATTGATAATATTACTGAGAGAAGTCTCCCACAAGAGACAACCCAAACAGTTTGATGTTTAGCTTCTCAGTGAGGCAGTGCACACATGCTTTCCCAGTTAGTTCCACTCAGTTGATTCAACAAGAATTTCACTACCAGGTGTTCAAAACAATAACAAATTTTAGCTTTAATTTTCAGTTCCAACATGTCAAACCAACAAACACAGTGACCTCTAGATGGAAGTCACTGCCAAATGGTTTCAGGCAAGCAACTGTCTCAGATGGCATCCATTTTGTCTTTTTATATCAAACTGAACTCTGACGATTGTGGCTTTTTACAATCTGATAAAGACTCTGTTTTGACAAATTAATTTCTGGTTACTTTAACTGAAGCTACAGTGAAAACCAGTGGAGAAATCAGACATCCTTGCTGTAGTGGAGAGAAGATTGGCACAGTCAACTCACAACAGTATGTATGCTGTACAAAACAAGTTACCAATACCCACAGGTCGTGTAGCAGCATCTAATAGCCATGGGTCATATATAAGACTGGGTGATCATTAACTTCTTTTGATGAGCATATATAGTTGTCATCAGTCACAGGTGTACTCTACAGTATTGTATCACATAAACAATTACTGACAGTTACAGATCTGGAGTAGCAGATTACTCGTCTAAAATCTATAAGCTATTTGATGTTTCAAATGGCAGAAATATCATTTATTGAAATGTCTTCTGACTGGCAATATACACTGTGAAAGTATCAAGTTGCAGCAAGTATCGCATCAACTGAACTGTTTAATGAGCAAACACTGCAAAGAAAACTTGTAAAAAGTCAATATATATGGATTCAATTACTTTGAATAACCAAAATTGATTGAACCATATTCAGTGCCATTTTCCGTAGATTCCACATGATTGTGTCAGTGCTAGGATATGCCAGTCACTGCCAGTCACTAGTAATATGCACCTGACAAAACAGACATAAAATATTATTAATACAAACCAATTACTGCCAAATATACACTTCTGCCAAATACAGACACATTACCAAGGTTTGACAAATCTGCTGGTCAGTAAGACCATGTCAGTAAACATTACACTGGGCCAGTTATTTTAGTATAATCTGGGTGGTCTGACCAACCTCGGGACAATAGTAGAAATAATGCTCATTGGTTTGGTTGCCTTTAACAGAATAAACATATCAGATATTGTTGTAATATTTACATATAAATAAATAAAAAATAGATAAGTCTTTATATTTGTAGCTGAGCATATTTTCTCAGGAATTTGTCAGTCTTCTTGTCTGGCATAAAAGAATATTTACTGAAGTCTATGTGAACTTTGTCAGCTGTGTCTCCCAACACTGCATGATCTTCTGGCCAACCTGACAAAGCTCCAAATGTCAAACAAGCAAATTTCTTGAATACTCTTTCTTGTCTCACTTAACACAAAAAGAGAATTAGTCTGTACATTATTGATCAGCCTGGAAATACAAGTGTAGTGAGTTTAACATACACATTGTCATCTTAATGATTCTAAGTTATGTCAAATTAGTAAATCAAACCAAATAATATACATCAATCATATGAATTAATTAATGAATCTATTTTCTACTGACATTTATATTTGTTTATAAATTCTATCATTATTCAATTGTATTACAAGCATTTTTTTAAAATGTGATTAAATGAAATAATTTGGGATGAATGAAACCGGATTATTTCTGGATCAAATTAAATCAATTCAAACTGGGAAAAAATAAATGACAAATAATTAAATTCAACTACCGGGTAATCTGAGTTGAATTAAATTAAACCAAATTAATTCTCATTATCCATTACCATTCATTCCTATAGGACCTTCAGGTGATATTCACTGGGTTTTTCAAGTTGTGCATTAAAGCAACAATGTAACAGGCAGGACAGTGCCACACTTGTGAAAGCACTAAGTTGAGTAATAAGGTGTTTTCATGGAATCGTTTTTATGCATCACCGACAAATATCAAGGAACATTTCAGGAAAAATGATTTCTTTTGTATTTTATTGATGAGCCCACCTTAAATTTGGAACATCCAACAATTCACAATGACATATTTTGATTGAAAATGTTAATCGTCTATCTGTGTGTATACAGTATTTGTGAAATGTCATGTTTCAATATAATTTTTACACACCTTCCTAAGAAACTCTGTAAAATGTAATTCAATTTCCCTTGCAAACTTTCTAATTCATAAACAAATGTTTTTTGCTAGCTGTTTTATCCTAGTGATACCTGAGTATCTGGTATGTCAGCTTCAGTATCAGGTGGGTCATCTTCATGAGACATATAGGAGCATCACAGTACTGTGTCCCTGAGACAGTAGGGGAAGACAGTCAGTGACCAGTTATTGATTTGAAGCCAAGCATCATATGCTTGCAGGCACCTGGAGAGGAATTAATAATAGGTTACCTGGGCTTCCCTGAACAGGTATGGCCCCTTCTCATACTTCCTGTCCAGGATCTTGTCTGCGAGTTCTGTGGGGATGTCGACCTGCAGACTTGGTGGGATCTGTGAATCAATGAAGCAGTTGATGATGGCGTTGATCTTCTGCAGAATCAGGCTGTCGTCTGTGTTGGCATGATGAAGTTCCTTCAAGACAAATCAGATATTTGGTGAAACAAAATGATTATAATATTTTCCAAATCTTTATTTTTGATATTTTATTGTGTATTTAATGTCCACTGTGCTCCTACGTCAGTAATACATCTAATATGTTTCAAAATGAAAGTAATCATTATCAAATCAGTGTCAGTTAATAGTAATAATTATAATAACAATTTGTGTTGACAAGATTTAAGTCAATGCCAGCATTACATGTATTGATTGTTCATTCCTAGGAATAACTCACTTTATACTTCTGAACTTCCAGCCAGAATAGAACATCATTTTCCAAGTTATCTCCCTTTATTGACACATATCTTCTGAACTGGAGGGACGTTACTGGGTTCATAAGAGCCTTGCGGAACGTCAGAATCTCGTTAGATGATGAGATCCACCGACTTTCAAGAAGCTGGAAATATGTACAGAGTTCTATCATTCTCCAATACGTCCCGGACCTGTATCAACTATTGCAGAATCTCTCATGTAAGACATCAGTTTTTATACGATTAAACATGTTGGAAATGTGACTATTGTTCTTCACTACAAAAAACACATTGATATTTTTTAAGGAGCAAAAGACTCTTTCTCCTAAAATGCATTAAGTCATAAATGACACATGTGTAAATGAAGTATATGCACTCAATGTCCTCCCATATCAGAGTATTTGAGGGCTTTTGATCAACCTCCCAGACATTGAAACATTTCTGATGACATTGTGGGAACTTGCAAGATACCCTAAATATCTTTCACCAGCACAAACAGATTCTTGTGGTTTAAGTACTCTATTTCTGTCACAATTTTCATCCTCATGTAAATGTTTAGGGAAAATACAACTCTTTATTAATACATATTTATAATTTAGTATACGTCATTGAACATTATTACAGAAGGAAATATGAAATATATAAAAAATGAAAATGGGTGAGAGATACTTCAAATACAATTATAATAGCAATGATGTTTGTTTTTCTGCAGCAAATTGAACATGGTGCAAGAACTCGCTGATTTATAGGCTTTCATGACAAGTTATCTTGTGTACAACTGCACTGTGGCTAAATGAGGGTCTAATTTGCAGTTTTTCTTATGCATGGAATTGATGGACCTAACGCTGACAGCTACATAGAACCTGCAAGAAATCAGGCCTATTGTTGGAGGTACATCCATCAGTGTCAGAAATGCTGCAGAAAGAATGTGTTTATGAAGTTACACATTTTCATGGAAATAGCTGCTTCAGTATTCTCACGTTCTTTAACGTATTTTGGTCTCATTTAGTATGATAATTGTGTAGATTTAATAAGAGATGCAAAAAGCTTGAAAACACAAAATCATAAACTATCAGATGGTAATCAGAAATCCTTGATTGAATTTTGTCTAAGATCTGTGTAATAAGAAGCTTCTATGGTATCAATGTGGATGTTTTTCTAAGATAATAAGGTAGGACAAAAACTGGGGTAATAAAGCATGCCTTCAAGAGAGTTATTTTCCACTTCAACCAAGCATAAAATTCCTTATGTTTAACTGAAATGCCAAGCAGTCTCCATGGAAACTGGGAAATGCTGACTTTGACAACAGTAGGCTTACCCCCTGAAGAGGGGACAGAAGGACGGGACATGGCGCGGGACATGGCGCGGCAGTCTCTGATAACTCTGTACACTTTGCAGGAACTGTTTATTTTTTCTAGCAAAGAAAAGATCATTGAGAAGGAAACGGAGTCTGGCTCTCGGCAGAAATATTTATACCAAAAGTTGTCTATAACTGTTCCCGTTGTTTGTAGTATTAGTGATATGGTTACAAATACTGGGGGATTAACTCATCCCACCTGCATGCCATGTGGCCTCTGATTAGCATCAGCCAGAACTTCTCCTGGGATTGCCTTGACATTTTTTGAGCAATTCCCTTTGGAAGTTGGATGTGAGCTGGTCTAACACAAACCACTACCTAACATAAGGTCATCGTTTGTATTGCTCATTGGCTTCACATTAATGAGATTTTCTTAACATTTCAACTACTGACAGACACAAGGCCATATTGTGTGCACCCACTCATCAAAAGAGGAGTCATCTGCCCATCATGTAATCTCAATATTTAAAACTCACACAAATATGCATTTTCAAAACAGCCCAAGGCTGGAACAATATACCAAAAATGCTCTAGGATAATATTTTAGGGATAAGCTGACACCTTGTTTAGACAATATTTAGGATGAAAATGTCACAACCAAAGTGAGAGACATATTTTGGAGTGAAGGCCCGATAGATGAATGTGATGTTGTAAACAGTAGATTTCACCATCTGAGTGTCTGGAACTGGCTCTCCAGCTCAATAAACAATGGCTACCTTGTTCTCCATAGGGTCGCTATCCAACAATCTCAATTCAGAAATCTTAACTCAGAAGTAGAATGGCAGAAAGCCTCTTGAAATGTTTCTCATAAACAAGACAGGTGCCAAGATGCATGGTTGTATTTGGGACTCATGACTGAGCATCAAAATGCAAAGTTTTATTCAGGTCCCCTGACTAAGTGTCAAGATTCAAGATGTATGGTTGTATTCAGGTCCCATGACTAAGTGTCAAGATGCAGGGTCCTATTCAGGTCCCATGACTAAGTGTCAAGATGCATGGTTGTATTCAGGTCCCATGACTAAGTGTCAAGATGTATGGTTGTATTCAGGTCCCATGACTAAGTGTCAAGATGCATGGTTGTATTCAGGTCCCATGACTGAGCATCAAAATGCAAAGTTTTATTCAGGTCCAATGACTAAGTGTCAAGATGCATTGTTGTATTCAGGTCCCATGACTAAATGTCAAGATGTATGGTAGTATTCAGGTCCCATGACTAAGTGTCAAGACATATGGTTGTATTCAGGTCCCCTGACTGAGTGTCAAGATGCATGGTTGCATTCAGGTCCCATGACTGAGTGTCAAGATGCATGGTTGTATTCAGGTCCCATGACTAAGTGTCAAGATGCATGATTGTATGCAGGTCCCCTGACTGAGTGTCAAGATGCATGGTTGTATTCGGGTCCCATGATGGTATTCAGGTCCCATGATTGTATTCAGGTCCCCAGACTAAGTGTCAAGATGCATGGTTGTATTCAGGTCCCATGATTGTATTCAGGTCCCATGACTGAGTATCAAGATGCATGGTTGCATTCAGATCCCATGACTAAGTGTCAAGATGTATGGTTGTATTCAGGTCCCATGACTGAGTATCAAGATGCATGGTTGTATTCAGGTCCGATGACTGAGTGTCAAGATGGATAGTTGTATGCAGGTCCCATGACTGAGTATCAAGATGCTTGGTTGTATTCAGGTCCGATGACTAAGTGTCAAGATGTATGGTTGTATTCAGGTCCCATGACTGAGTGTCAAGATGCAGGGTCCTATTCAGGTCCCATGACTAAGTGTCAAGATGCATGGTTGTATTCAGGTCCCATGACTAAGTGTCAAGATGTATGGTTGTATTCAGGTCCCATGACTGAGTGTCAAGATGCATGGTTGTATTCAGGTCCCATGACTGAGCATCAAAATGCAAAGTTTTATTCAGGTCCAATGACTAAGCGTCAAGATGTATGGTTGTATTCAGGTCCCATGACTAAGTGTCAAGATGCAGGGTCCTATTCAGGTCCCATGACTAAGTGTCAAGATGCATGGTTGTATTCAGGTCCCATGACTAAGTGTCAAGATGTATGGTTGTATTCAGGTCCCCTGACTAAGTGTCAAGATGCATGGTTGTATTCAGGTCCCATGACTGAGCATCAAAATGCAAAGTTTTATTCAGGTCCAATGACTAAGTGTCAAGATGCATTGTTGTATTCAGGTCCCATGACTAAATGTCAAGATGTATGGTAGTATTCAGGTCCCATGACTAAGTGTCAAGACATATGGTTGTATTCAGGTCCCCTGACTGAGTGTCAAGATGCATGGTTGCATTCAGGTCCCATGACTGAGTGTCAAGATGCATGGTTGTATTCAGGTCCCATGACTAAGTGTCAAGATGCATGATTGTATGCAGGTCCCTGACTGAGTGTCAAGATGCATGGTTGTATTCGGGTCCCATGATGGTATTCAGGTCCCATGATTGTATTCAGGTCCCCAGACTAAGTGTCAAGATGCATGGTTGTATTCAGGTCCCATGATTGTATTCAGGTCCCATGACTGAGTATCAAGATGCATGGTTGCATTCAGATCCCATGACTAAGTGTCAAGATGTATGGTTGTATTCAGGTCCCATGACTGAGTATCAAGATGCATGGTTGTATTCAGGTCCGATGACTGAGTGTCAAGATGTATAGTTGTATGCAGGTCCCATGACTGAGTATCAAGATGCTTGGTTGTATTCAGGTCCGATGACTAAGTGTCAAGATGTATGGTTGTATTCAGGTCCCATGACTGAGTATCAAGATGCATGGTTGTATTCAGGTCCCATGACTAAGTGTCAAGATGCATGGTTGTATTCAGGTCCCATGACTAAGTGTCAAGATGTATGGTTGTATTCAGGTCCCATGACTGAGTGTCAAGATGCATGGTTGTATTCAGGTCCCATGACTGAGCATCAAAATGCAAAGTTTTATTCAGGTCCAATGACTAAGCGTCAAGATGTATGGTTGTATTCAGGTCCCATGACTAAGTGTCAAGATGCAGGGTCCTATTCAGGTCCCATGACTAAGTGTCAAGATGCATGGTTGTATTCAGGTCCCATGACTAAGTGTCAAGATGTATGGTTGTATTCAGGTCCCCTGACTAAGTGTCAAGATGCATGGTTGTATTCAGGTCCCATGACTGAGCATCAAAATGCAAAGTTTTATTCAGGTCCAATGACTAAGTGTCAAGATGCATTGTTGTATTCAGGTCCCATGACTAAATGTCAAGATGTATGGTAGTATTCAGGTCCCATGACTAAGTGTCAAGACATATGGTTGTATTCAGGTCCCCTGACTGAGTGTCAAGATGCATGGTTGCATTCAGGTCCCATGACTGAGTGTCAAGATGCATGGTTGTATTCAGGTCCCATGACTAAGTGTCAAGATGCATGATTGTATGCAGGTCCCCTGACTGAGTGTCAAGATGCATGGTTGTATTCGGGTCCCATGATGGTATTCAGGTCCCATGATTGTATTCAGGTCCCCAGACTAAGTGTCAAGATGCATGGTTGTATTCAGGTCCCATGATTGTATTCAGGTCCCATGACTGAGTATCAAGATGCATGGTTGCATTCAGATCCCATGACTAAGTGTCAAGATGTATGGTTGTATTCAGGTCCCATGACTGAGTATCAAGATGCATGGTTGTATTCAGGTCCGATGACTGAGTGTCAAGATGTATAGTTGTATGCAGGTCCCATGACTGAGTATCAAGATGCTTGGTTGTATTCAGGTCCGATGACTAAGTGTCAAGATGTATGGTTGTATT